CCCAGCTACTCGGAGGCTGAGGCAGGAGAATCACTTGAACCCGGGAGGCAGAGGTTGCAGTGAGCTGAGATTATGCATTCCAGCCTGGGCAACAGAGCGAGACCCCGTATCAAAAAAAAAAAAAAGATCTCACTTTCTACTGTAACAACCAAAACAAAGTAAATAACTAATTTCTGTTCTCTCTACTAAACATTTATTCCCCTTTCTGATATTTCCTCAATTCTTCAGAAGCCAAATGTGGACTTCTACTTGTTTTTTCAAGCCTTGCCTTTGGCTTTCACCGTGTTCGGTAGTATCTAAACCAATAGTAGGTAAAGGGAGGCAGGGAAAATGAAGCCAAACAGTCTCCTCTCCTGTTTATTACAAGGTCTTTTGGGTGAGGAAACTGAAACAACCAGCTATAAGAGGCAGTAGATGATGGGAAGAACCCTAGACCCCCAAGTCCAGGTCAAAGTCCAAAGATGTAGGTTCTAGCCTGGCTTCACTAACTTAACAGATACTAGCTTTGAATAAGTCACATAACCTCTCAGCATCATCTGTAAAACAGAGTTAAATATCTTCAACTACTTACTTTACAAGAGACTGGAAGATTAAAATAAGGTATTATTTGTGAAAGTGCTCTGAAAATAGTTAAATGCTATTTTAAAAATCATTTCATATGCCCTTGCAATTTCTGCTCCCCGCAAAACGAAGTACTGGTGGTTGCTTCATCACTGGAGCCAAAACAAGCATGGCAAAATTATCCACTTCTTAACAATTCTGAGCCATAGACAAAATTACAGGCATACTAAAATAAAATGGGAAAAGTACCAACAAATGACAAGAGATAAGTTAACATAAGCCTCGCTTAAAGCTATATTGAGAGTGCCTCCTTACAGTCATCTCAGGACAAATTTCTCCATAAGAGGTTGGTTCTTGTCTTCCTCTAGCTCCCTGAAGCCTGGAGGATGCAGCAATGTCTTCAGCAAAAAGTATGTTTATGAGAATAATGGACAGAACGATAAGGTGAAATACTATATACATCTTTAGGCTTCTCCTTAAAGAGATAGGGCAAGCCAAAAAGGTGATGCCAAAACATCTATGGAATTAACACAGTGGAACAAGCTCAGGTTTTTTTTTTTTCTTTTTTTTTTTGAGATGGAGTTTCACTCTTGTTGCCCAGACTGGAGTGCAATGGTGTGATCTCAGCTCACCGCAACCTCCGCCTCCCAGGTTCAAGTGATTCTCTTGCCTAAGCCTACTGAGTAGCCTGGATTACAGGCATGCACCACCTTGTGCAGCTGATTTTTGTAGAGACAGGGTTTCTCCTGTTGGTCAGGCTGGTCTCGAACTCCTGACCTCAAGTGATCCACCCGTCTTGGCCTCCCAAACTGCTGGGATTACAGGCGTGAGCCACTGCGCCCAGTCATCAGGCTCAGGTTTTACGAGTAGGAAAGACTCAGGTTTCCATCTGGTTTTGCCACTTCTTTACTGGGCAAACCAGCCTTTCATTCGGATTTTTAATCTGTGAAGTAAGGAATAATACCACCTATCTCAAAGGGATATTCAGAGAATTAGAATGGATGTAAACCACTTGGCACATAAAAGGTAATAAATAACAGCAGGATAGGCAACAAAAACAACAACAAAACCCTCAACACATCTACTTCTATCCAAATCTGGAGTCTTTTCCTCTATACCAGTGGTTTGTTCTTAACCAAGGCAATTTTGCCTCCCAGGGACATCTGGCAATGTCTGGAGACATTTTTGGTTGTTACCACTGGGGAGTGCTATTGACATCTAGTGGGTAGAGGCCAAAGATGCTGCTAAACATTCTACAATGCACAGAGCAGTGTTCCACAACAATTATCCAATCCAAAACATCAACAGTGAGAAGTCCTGCCATACAGCAGGCATTCTTTGATACTCAGTAGAAGTAAGCTACTTCACCTTTCCTAGCCATCCTCACTAGCATTGTGGGAATAAATTTATCTGTGCTCCCTTCCTCATCAAGCTGTTGTGAGGTTTAAATGAAGTAATGGATGAGAGGCATTATTATCATTACACCTTTTACTACATACACAAAAGTTTCTACTTGCTGAGCAAAGACAGAAGCATTCACATACTGGGGAGGGAGACAGGGAGGTTAATGGGGTAGAATTCTCTGTTGGAGGTGCCATAATCCAAAGACAGCCTCCTGCCTATCTACCTGCTTAGTGAGAGCCAGGAGACTTCTCATGAATAGTGATGGCACAGGAGCACTTATGTCTCAGGGAGAGAGAGGAGTAAAGTGGAATGTGGGAAGTGGGTAGGAACAGCACAGGCATATCAAAGAGCAGCTGACAGATGTTAGGAAGTGAGACACAGCTTGGGCTGTCATAACAAAATAACATAGATTTGAGGGCTTAAAACAACAAAAAATTATTTTCTCACAGTTCTAGAGGCTGCAAAGTTCAAGATCAAGGTTCTGGAAAGGTTCAGTTTCTCAGGATCAATCTCTTCCTGGTGTGTAGACAGCTGTCTTCTCGCTGTGTCCCATATGGCAGGGGGAAGGCGAGAAAAAAAAGCCTCCTTCTCAATTTATTTATTTTTTGAGACAGAGTCTCACTCTACTGCCCAGGCTGGAGTGCAGTAGCACAATCACAGCTCACTGCAGCCTCAACCTCCCGGGCTCAAGTGATCCTTGCAGCTCAGCCTCCCATGTAACTGGGACTACAGATGTGTGCCACCACACCTGGCTAATTTTTAAAATTTTTTGGTAGACAGGAAACAAAACCAAAAACAAAGCCTGCAGCTTGCCAAAGGAGAGAGAAGTCAGTCTGGTGAAAGATAAAAGAAGGGGCAGGAGTGGGAATGGAGCTGTCACAGCGATGTAAGTGGGGGTGGTAGGATTCAAAAGCAAATTAGTAAACACATAATAAGTCAGCAGCCCCAGAGGCTGCACATGAAGGGCCCTGCCTTGAAAGATAGCAAGAGTCTGGCTGGGCACGGTGGCTCAAGCCTGTAATCCCAGCACTTTGGGAGGCCGAGGCGGGTGGATCACGAGGTCAAGAGATCGAGACCATCCTGGTCAACATGGTGAAACCCCGTCTCTACTAAAAATACAAAAAAAATTAGCTGGGCATGGTGGCGCATGCCTGTAATCCCAGCTACTCAAGAGGCTGAGGCAGGAGAATTGCCTGAACCCGGGAGGCGGAGGTTGTGGTGAGCCGAGATCGCACCATTGCACTCCAGCCTGGGTAACAAGAGCAAAACTCCATCTCAAAAAAAAAAAAAGAAAGAAAGAAAGATAACAAGAGTCAGATCCATCTCCTGGTGTCATCGCCATCCCTCCCCCCACCCATCTTTATTCTTACACTCCATCAACACTCCCTCAGGAAAGGATGGCATGGCCTCACTCCCATCAAGCTACAAGAGTATTTTAATAGGGAACAATGACAATAAACCAAAAGAATAGAGTAGAAAAGAAGGAATTTCAGGCACATTTACTGAACAACAAGGAACAAGAGAGAAGACAAACCTTTCTTTTCTTTTCTTTTGAGACAGAGTTTTGTTCTGTCACCCAGGCTGGAGTGCAGTGGCATGTTCCTGGCTCACTGCCACCTCTGCCTTCTGGGTTCAGATGATTCTCCTGCCTCAGCCTCCTGAGTAGCTGGGACTACAGACCTGTGCCACCATGCCCAGCTACTTTTTGTATTTTTAGTAGAGACAGGATTTCACCATGTTGGCAAGGCTGGTTTCAAAGTCCTGACCTCAAGTGATCTGCTGACCTTGGCCTCTCAAAGTGTTAAGATTACAGGTGTGAGCCACTGTGTCCCGGCCAAAATTTTTCTTTTGGCAAATCATATCACACCAGTTCTGGAGTCTAATGGTGGTCAGCTGTGCTGCTCATCTGCTCATCATATAGTTCTCTAACAATAACATAAAAAATGTGGTATATTACTGACATCCAGTCCTCCCTGATGAAAACTGTGATATTGACAGAAAGATCACATTACAGACTTTGCAAACTTTAAGGAGAGCATTATAGCCTATGTACATCACCAGTTATGGATGGTAAATTTCCCTTATTGAAACTGAAAGTCAAGACATTTGGATTCTGAGTCAAACTCCACCCTCATACATTTTTTTTGAGAAGGAGTCTCACTGTGTTACTCAGAGTCGGGTGCAGTGGCATGATCTTGGCTCACTGCAACCTCTGCCTCCCAGGTTCTAGCGATTCTCCTGCCTCAGCCTCCCAGTAGCTGGGATTACAGGCACATGCCACCACACCTAGCTAATTTTTCTATTTATAGTAGAGACGAGGTTTCACCATGTTGTCCTGGCTGGTTTCAAACTCATGATCTCAAGTGATCCAACCACCTGTGCCTCTCAAAGTGCTGGGATTACAAGCGTGAGCCACTGCGCCCAGCCCCACCCTCACACTTTCTGCTTAACTTTGCCACATTATTTTTCCTCTTAACACCTCTATGTGTAAAATACAAAAATTTCAAAGGTAACTTGATTGAATTTGCCCTGGGAAACAAAAGTAGGAAGAAAGAAAAAGGGGAGGGAAACATTGAAAAGATGCTTCAGAAATAGATTTTTTTGGCCAGACATAGTAGCTTACGCCTGTAATCTCAGAATTTTGGGAGGCAGAGAGAGTGGATCATGAAGTTAGGAGATCAAGACCATCCTGGCCAACATGATGAAATCCAGTTTCTACTAAAAATACAAAAATTAGCTGGGCATGGTGATGCATGCCTGTAATCCCAGCTACTCAGGAGGCTGAGGCAGGAGAATCACTTGAACCAGGGAGTCAGAAGTTGGAGTGAGTCAAGATTGTGCCACCGCACTCCAGCCTGGTGACAGAGAGGGACTCTGTCTCAAAAAAAAAAAAGGAAATAAATTTTTTAAAGTATTCCCTTCATTGAAAGTCAAGCTAAATATGTTCTAAGTTACTATTTAGATGATACAGAAAATGAACTACTCTCAGAAGAAATGGCTTGTACATATTTTAGTGAAAACAGAAAAGTCTTTACCTTATCATTTAGAAGTGGTTTGATCTCTGTGAGTTGAACATCCTGAAGTTCATCCATGAGGACAGATGAGAACAGAGGAGTCTCAAGAATAAATCAGTAACTCTGAAACAGAGAAGAAAGAAGTGAAGAAAAAGGCTTAAGCCAGGAATTGGAAACATAATAGTCACGGTAAATCCATTCATTGAAATATGAGACCTGGGTTTGTGCCATGCCCTGCTCAGGGTGCTAAAGACACAGTTACAGCAGACAGACACTAAAGTGGTCTGTAGGATTCTTGCCTCCTGGTATTCACATCCTTGCATAATCCCCCCAGTGAATGTGGGTGGAACCTATGGCTTACTTTTAACCTGCAGAATATGGCAAAAGTGATGGAATGTATATGAGTGACTTTACATGATTGCATTACATAATATTTTCACATCTGTCTTGCTGAGGGGCACTCTCCCCTGCTAGGTTTGAAGACGAAAGCTGATGTGCTATGACAGGACCGTGTAACAAGGAACTGAGAGCAGCCTCCAGTGGAAAGACAGAAGACACTAAGACCCTCAGTTCAACAATCTACAAGGAACTGAATGCTGCCAACAACAGGATGGAAGCAGATCCTTTCCCAGCTGAATGTCAGATAAGAAGCTGACCGACACCTTGATCCAGGCGTCCCCAAACTACGGCCGCGGGCCGCATGCGGCCCCCTGAGGCCATTTATCCGGCCCCCCGCTGCACTTCAGGAAGGTGCACCTCTTTCACTGGTGGTCAGTGAGAGGAGCACAGTATGTGGCGGCCCTCCAACGGTCTGAGGGACAGTGAACTGGCCCCCTGTGTAAAAAGTCTGCGGACGCCTGCCTTGATCGGTGTGTTGTAGGGAACCTACACAACCCACACTAGACTCCTGAACCACAGAAACTGTGAGACAATGAATGTGTGTTGTTTTAGGCCACGACATTTGTGGTAATATTTTTATGCAGCAACAGATTAATACAATTAATACAATAGTCTTTGCCCTCATGGAATACACATTTTAGTTACTGAAGATGGATAAAGAAACAACATACTCAAAGCTATGCTTGGAACAGACTGGAAGATGGATTAAGCAGGGACAAAAATTGAAGGTTATTACTGCAGAATGAGACCTTGAATTAGGAATGGCAACGGGAAAGAAGGAGGAGGGAACCAAGGCTAAGCTTACTAATTCTCATTTAGGGAATCACAGCAGTGGATGAAAGGTCAGCTCCAAAGTGGCCTTCAATGAGCCCAATGATCCTTGACTCCTGATTTTGATTTACACATATGTATAATCCCCCACCCAAATAAATCAGGGATGGCTCGTGTACTAATAGAATATGGAGGAAGCAACAAAAGGTGACTTCTGAAGCTACATCATAAAACACAGCATAGTGTCTGCTTCAAGACACTATAGTCTTAAACTACTAGTCCTGGGGGAAGCTAGCCACCATATCATCAAGACATTCAAACAGGCCTTTGGAGGGGTCCACATGGAGAGGAACTAACTTGCCAGTACCAACCTGCTAGCCTGTGTGAGCTACTTTGCAAATGAATCCTCTAGCCCCAGTCAAGAGTTTGGATGACTAAAGCCCCAGGGACATCTGGCTGCAACCACATGAGAGATCCTAGGCCAGAACTACCCTACCAAGCCTGCTCCCAAGTTCCTGACCCAGAGAAACCATGAGAGATAATAATTTTGTTTTAGAGTGATCTATAGCAATCGATAACTAATACAAAGGGAAAGCAGAATGGAGAGTTCAGAGAGAAGGGGCAAGTTGGAGAGAGGTAGGCAGGATAATGAACTACAAATTCTTCTTCCATCTCACCATACAGAAGCCAGGCAGATAGGCTGCAAATACTCAATGTTGCAGAAAAGTGATTCCCACCTAGACTTCAAAGTTTCAGGCATCATCCTTTTTGCCTGGCTCTAAACCTATCAAGTCAGGAAAAATGTTAATTCAGAGTTGGGGATTTACATTTAACAACCATTTACTGAATACCCATTGCACTATGGAAGATACAAAAAATGTCCCTGCCTCTAAACAGTAGAGATGACATAGATCTATAAGTTGATAAATAAAAAGAAGGGCCATAGGAGTTCAAAGGAGAAGCAATTACATCTGATTGGTAGAAATCAAGAAAGCCTTCAAAAGATATTAGTCGTGTGTGTGTGTGTGTGTGTGTTTGTGTGTGTATTTTTTTTTGAGACCTAGTCTTGCTCTGTCGCCCAGGCTGGAATGTAGTGGCAGGCTCTTGGCTCACTGGAACCTCTGCCTCCTGGGCTCAAGCGATTCTCGTCCCTCAGCCTTCTAAGTAGCTGGGACTAGGGACACCCACTACCATGCCCAGCTAATTTTTGTATTTTTAGTAGAGACAGGGTTTCACCATGTTAGCTAGGCTGGTCTTGAACTCCTGCTCTCAAGTGATCCACTGTCCTCAGCCCCTCAAAGTGCTGCGATTACAGCTGTGAGCCACTGTGCCTGACCTAGTATACTATATTAATCCACTTTTCTATTTACCTTCTAGAGATAGAATGACAAGATTTTTATTTAATTACCTATGGAGAGGTTATGTGTCCCAGGCTACCTTTTAGCTGTTACTGCCCAACACACTAAAACAAATCCTGCTCCCAACTATGCCTATGTTAGGACAGACTAACCAAAAAAGCCTTCTTATCATTTAATTCAAGGGACCCAGGGGGTGCCTACTGGGAACACTCCTCAGGCTATGAACCCCACATGCTAACTGAATATTCCAAAAGTATGAACCACCTAGAGAGCACAAGTTTGATGATGTTTAACCTCCCTATTATAGGGCAGTGGTTCTTTTGTCAAATCCCAGGCACCCATATACTTGATTGATCTACTTGATACTTAGAGGTTGAATCTTTATTTTTTGTTTTTATACCAGTCACATTTCAAAAGGGTAGCTTGACTCCTACACAGTGAATTTCAGCCAGCATCTACGTTCTCTCTTTCACAGTCCCCACTTAACTCTCAAAATATTGGCCTAACTGGAATCTACTCCTTGTTTATTAATAACACTATAAACTGTGGCTACTTTTTATTTGGACTTTACTATTTATCAGTTATTTAAAATGGCAATTTAAAAGCTTTTTCCGGCTGGATGCAGTGGCTCACACATGTATTCCCAGCACTTTGGGGGGCTGAGGTGGATCATTTGAGGTCAAGAGTTCAAGACCAGCCTGGTCAACATGGTGAAACCCTGTCCCTACCAAAAACACAAAAATCAGCTGGGTGTGGTGGCACACATCTGTAATTCCAGTTACTCGGCAGGCTGGGGCATGAGAATCGCTTGAATCCAGGAGGCGGAGGTTGCAGTAAACCAAGATCGGGCAACTGTACTCCAGCCTGGGTAACAGAATAAGACTGTCTAAAAAAAAATTTTATTTTTAAAAAAAGCTTTTTCCCTTTTATAAAAGCAGTACGTGCTCATTTTAGAAAATACAGAAATCAGGCAGGTGCGGTGACTCACAATTGTAATCCCAGCACTTCAGGAGGCCGAGGTCAGGTGTTCATTTGAGGTCAGGTGTTCAAGACCAGCCTGGCCAACATGGTGAAACCCCATCTCTACTAAAAATACAAAAATTATCTGGCAGTGGTGGCACATGCCTGTAATCCCAGCTACTCAGGAGGCTGAGGCAGGAGAATCGCTTGGTCCTGGAAGGCGGAGGTTGCAGTGAGCTGAGATTGTGCCACTGCACTCCAGCCTAGGCAACAGAGTGAGACCCAGTCTCAAAAACCAAAAAATAACAACAACAAAAAAGAAAATACAGAAATCAGGTGCGAACCGTGGCTCTCACCTGTAATCCCAGCGCTCTGGGAGGCTAAGGCGGGTGGATCACCTGAGGTCAGGAGTTCGAGACCAGCCTAGACAACATGGGTGAAACCCCCCTCTACTAACAATACAAAAATTAGCAGGCATGATGGTGGGGGTTGTAATCTCAGCTACTCGGGAGGCTGAGACAGGAGAATCCCTTGAGCTCAGGAGGCAGAGGTTGCAGGGAGCTGAGATCATGCCACTGCACTCCAGCCTGGGTGATAGAATAAGACACTCTCTCAAAAAAAAAAAACAAAAAACAAAAAAGAAAATACAGATATGGAAATCACAGAATACTGAACAAATAATTTACTCATAGGCCTTCCATCTAAAGAAAACCATTTTAATGTATTTCCACTTGTTCTTTTTTCCCACTTAAATGGTGATTTCCTGAAATTGTTTGTTCAACTCACCCACTTTATTCCCTACTTTAATTCACTCACTAGAAAGCAATGTACTTCAAGATGGGAATTATTCAAATATGACTTCACATGGGTGGGCCTGTCAAATGATCAGAGAAAGGCCTAAGGTGCCCTCAAGTCCAAAGTGACTGGAATTAACCTAGTGCTCTTTTTTTTTTTTTGAGATGGGGTCTTACTCTTTCACCTAGGCTGGAGTGCAATGGCACAATCATGGCTCAACCTTCCAGGCTCAAGCAATCCTTCCACCCCAGCCTCTCAAGTAGCTGAGACTATAGGCATGTGCCACCATGCCTTGCTAATCAAATAAAAAAAAAACAAAAACTTTTAGAGACAGGAGTCTCACTATGTTGCCAAGGCTAGTCTTGAACTCCTGGACTCAAGCAATCCTCCTGCCTTGGATTCCCAAAGTGCTGGGATTACAGGTGTGAACCACCATGCCCAGCCCTACATATTTTTTTAAAGATGAAGAGAAATGCAATGTTTGCACCAACAAACACTTAAACAAAGACACAAATTAAATGAGAAGGCTATCCCTATCAGCTAGGCCCAATGCAGGCTCAGACAATAATGCTGTGCAGGACAGTAAGCTGCTCCAGGGTGACACAGGATTTGGCAATATGGCAGTAGATATTTACATTCCACATATTAGGGGATCTAATGCATTCTTCTGGAGACTCCATTTTTTCTCCATTTTCAGTGTCTGAAGCCCTTGCCAATGAGCAGTTTTATAACATATACTTAGAAAACTAAGATTCTGGTGGAAAACTCCATCTCCAGATTCCTCAGCCGCACAGTCGGACTCCCTCCTGGGGATCTAAGGCCTGCAGTTCTGGCATCTGC